ATGAGGACGGGGTTCCGTGGTGCCTGTCAGACCCGGTGCGCCAGAGGGTGTTCGAGGCGGTCATCGATGAGGAGAAGCCGTACTTGATCATCGGGTCGCCGATGTGCTGGGCGTTCAGTATCATCATGAACCTGAGCAAGGACCGCGACCCCGAGGCGTGCGAGCAGAAGGTGGTAGAGGGCATCAGGCACATTACGTTCTGCGTGACGCTGTGCGTCAAGCAGGTGTAGGCAGGGCGTTACTTCCTGCATGAGCACCCGGATCGAGCATGGAGCTGGAAGCTGGATTTCATGCAGGATCTGTTGAGGATGGATGGTGTCTCTCGTGTCGCGGGCCACCAGTGCTGCTTTGGCCAACAGGCGGTGGACCTCGATGACGAGATGGGCTTGGTCCTCAAGCCTACGGGCTGGATGAGCAACTCAGAGTGTAACCTGGCGGAGGTTTCCCGCTGGTTCGAGAACGAGAGCTTACCTCGGGACAAGTGGCGCGCCCACGTACATCTTGTCGGGAGCTCGTAGACGAGACCAGCGCAGAGCTACCCGCCTGCGCTGGTGGCAGCGATCCTGAGGGGATAGCAGGCACAGCTGAAGGTTAACGGCGACCTGAGCGCGTTCTCCGTAGGCGTCACTTGCGAGGAGGACGTCGCGACCTGGGACATGGAGGAGTACGAGGAGCTTCGCGACAACATCTCGGGCCTGCTGCTGGACGCGAAGCTGGTGCGGGCTGGCAGGGAGGAGGAGCTCAAGTACATGGACGACATGAAGGTGTTCGAGGTCGTACCAGAGTCTCTCTGCTGGGAGGAGACCAAGGCGAAGCCCATCCTGGTCAAGTGGGTGACGTGAACAAGGGCGACGACGCTCGCCCAGAGATAGGGTGCAGGCTGGTCGCGAAGAAGCTGAAGGGCGCGTAGACCAAGGCTGGGATTTTCAGGGGCGATGTCTTCTCAGCTACCCCGCCGCAGGAGGGCGTCAATATGCTATTCAGCAAGATGATGAGCAGGAAGCGCGGGGGCTGTAGGCGACGCAAGATGGGGTTCATCGATATAAGTCGGGCGCGCTTCCACAGTCCTGCGCGCAGGCGTGTATTCGTTCATCTTCCGGCCGAGCGACGTCAGAAAGGCTATTGTGCGCTACTGCTCAAGGGCATGTGCGGTGCGAGAGATGCGGCGGGTAACTTCGCAGACAAGGTGGTGGATGTACTGCGTGAGATGGGTTTTCGATTGGTGTCTTCTGTCTTTGCTTGTGCCGGCGCGACGAGACGGACATCCTGCTGTTTTACTACGGGGGCGATTTCGTGAGCGAGGGCGACGACGGCGCCCAGGAGTGGTTCAAGGCGGAGCTGTCCAAGAAGCTGCTGGTTAAGTTGCGTGGGATACTCGGCTGGGGCGACGGCGACCTTGCGGGAGGTCGCGCCGCTCAACAGGATCGTCGAGCTCACCGAGACCGAGGCTGGAATTCCGTGTTTGCAGTGGGGTGCTGACGCCCGTCATGTGGAGATCGTCTTCGCGCAGCTGAAGCTCGGAGCAGACGAGGGCAGCAAAGCAGTAACATCGCCGGGTATTCAGAGGGCGGCCGAGGAGCTGCTGGAGTCACTGGCACTCGGTACTACGGATGCGGCGCTATATCGCAGCGTGTGCATGAGGATCAACTACCTGGCGATGGATAGGATCGATCGACCTCCTCTTTGCGGCGAAGGAGGCGGCGCGATGGATGAGCAGGCCAACTCAGATCGCCATGGAGATGGTGAAGGGGGCCGGGCGCAACCTGATGCGCCGACCTAGGCTGGTGCAGCAGTTCGTGCAGCAGACCGAGCCAGACCGCCTGACGGTGCTGGTTGTGTGCTGACGAGGAAAGTATTACGGGTATCGCACCGTACCATGGCGCGCATCTGCTGAAGGCGAGTGCGAACACCCAGTCATTGATAGCACACTCGAGCGGCGAGTCAGAGTTCTACGCAATCTTGAGAGGGGCAAGCGTTGGACTCGGAGCTCAGAGCATGTGCAAGGATTTCGGCCTCCAGAAGGAGCTGATCGCCGAGACAGATGCTACCGCCTGGCGCGGCATGGCGCTCAGGCTTGGCGCAGGGAAGGTGCGGTACCTACATGCGCGGTACTTGTCGGTGCAGGCTATCCACCGCCAGAAGCTCGCCCGGCTGAACCAGGTGCCAGGCTGACTCAACACAGCGGACATGATGACTAAGCACCTGAGCGGTGACATGATCGTTATCTTCATGGATCGGTGCGGGCTCGTGATATTGGAAGGACGTAGCGAGCTGTTCTTGTGGGCAGCAGTGTGAGCGCGGCTTGAGCTGAAGACTCGGCCATCCAGTTCAATGAAGCTAGCGCGCGGTTTGCCTGCTGTCGGCGGCGGCGCGGAGGGCGCCTAGCCGAGGAGGAGTGTAGCAGTGCAAAGTTGATAAACAGGTTCGTGGCTTGTACGTTCCCCGAAGCCGCGTTGGTCCAACATCATTCAGTCATGTATGTACGTCTGTATAGTATGAT